AAGGTTCTGAGCACAAAATCCAGATATGTCATGTTATAGACTTGCTTCCTGAAGATGAAATCAGCAGTCGATGGAAAGAATCCACACACTTACAGAACAGCAAATCACAAATGGTGGTCTCGATGAAGCCAGTAGCTTTGCATTTAATATTTCTATCTAGGCTCATTTCCAGTTGTTCAGGATTTGGTTTCCTGAAGGCTTCTTCAGCATTTAACTAATTCTTTGTTGGCTGAAGGGGCTGGGACTGTTTCTCCACACACAAACTGATCCTAAGACAGAGAAATGACATTAACCAATGAATTTCCATGTCACAAATGCATTAATATTAAACCTTCATTTTGTTACAGAATCAATCCAGCTCTGTTAATTTTGTTTTTCCATTGCTATTATCATTTCATCCTTGTTCAAAGGGCCAATGACAGCACTAGAATCTGAATCTTAAACATATATCAGTTTTTGGTTCTGAATTCATTATTTAATATAAAGCACCTTATAAACATGCCCATCTTCAGTGCAGAGCAACCACTTCTCTGAAATCACATAGAGACATGTCACATCTTTTAATTTCTGTATTATTACACCAAAACTTCTCCACTTTAATAACTGGTCATTCAGGTACCAGTTCTCTTCAAAGTAATTACTTCTTCCAACTAAAAGGGACAGGTCTTTATGTGTTTCTCAATACAGATAATCTGCAATGTTAGCTACTTTGTAAATGAAGTTCAATCTCTGATCATTTATCCTGACTTATCTCAGCTACCACAAGAAATCTCTGCCTCTGAGGTTACCCCTCACCACCAGCAATCTGATTCCTGAAGGATCAGCCCCGACTCTGTCCCTACTGGTCTGTTGCTCAATATCTGGAGCTCTTTCACTGTACTCTGTGGAATTCAGGATCCATTGTTGGCACAATGCTCCATGTTCTCAACCTCCTCCTCAAAATGTCGTTTTACCCCCAAGAGCATTGGTAGTATCTGGAAACAGTCTGAACTGAAACAACTGAGGATTGCTATTGGCATCTAATAGGTAGAGGCCAGGGATCCTGCTAGACATCCTACAATGCGCGGGATAACCCTGCACAGCAAAGAATCATCAGGCCTAAAATGTCACTAGTGCTGAAGTCGAGATTAAGTCATATTCTTTTTTTTGTCCAAGATGGAGTCTCCCTCTGTTGCCCTGGCTGGAGTGCAGTGGCATGATCTTGCCTCACCACAACCTCTGCCTCCCGGGTTTAAGCGATTCTCCTGCCTCAGCCTCCTGAGTAGCTGGGACTACAGGCGTGTGCTACCATGCCTGGCTAATTTTTGTATTTTTAGTAGAGATAGGGTTTCACTACGTTGGCCAGGCTGGCCTTGAACTCATGACCTAATGATCTACCCGCCTCAGCCTCCCAACGTGCTGGGATTACAGGTGTGAGCCACCGCACCTGGCCTGATGAGTCATATTCTTAAGGATGGTTTCCTCTACGTGCCCCTCTAGTGGAGGCTCCATGTTCTCAGATTCCTAGTACCAGAGGGATTGGAAGCGGGGCTAGTTCCTCCTGTTTGCCACTGTGCTCCTTTTCTGCCTAAAACCCATCAGTTTTGAATCTTAGGGCTTGAGACTACTGCATTGCTATTCTTCTCTGTTGCTGTCATTTATCCACCCTGGATGCCATATTCCAACACCTCTGGACCTCCATCACATTCATCCTGCCACCCTTTCACTGCCCCTCACTCCCTTCATGTTCCCTTTCCCTAGTTCAAACTCCTTGGTCAGGTGTAACTACTCTTCTCTCACTCTTTCCTTTTCACTTGGGAAAATCACAAACCTGGTTAAATTTAACTTTCTGTGTCTATATTCACTTATGAAGGCTGAATTTCTATCACCTTAAATCCTCTCTTGATTCTCTATCACCACTGGTTACCATCCCCTGTTTCTGCTGCAAACCCCTTAAAAGAAATGGCTATACTCACTGCCTTCCGTTCTCTCATTCTCTCCAACCAGTTTTCTGCCCACTGGTTTCTTCAATCATGTGCTGTTCCTGTTACTCCACAGAAACTGCTCTCATCATCATCACAAATGAACTCAGTGTTGCTAAAGCTAATGGTTAATTCTTTTTATTCTTTGAGGTGGCGGTCTCAATGTTACCCAGACTCCTGGGCTCACATGATCCTCCTGCCTCAGGCTCCCAAAGTCCTGGGATTACAGGCGTGAGCCACCACACCCAGCCAAAGCTAATGGTTAATTGTTGATTTCTTTCTATCAGTGTCATGTGAAGGATCACCAATTCCTCGACCCCTTCTCATCTGGTTTTCAGGATTTGACACTGCCGACTTTCCTCTTTCTCACTGGTTGCTCCTTTACTGTCAGCTTTGGTGATTCCTCACTTCCCTCCCTGACCTTTTAATACTGGAGCGCCTTAAGGCTCAGTCCTGTATTTTATCCATCTTTACATTTACAGACCTGGAGATTTCACCCAATCTCATGGCTCTAAATGCTATCTATTACTGATAACTCCCAAATTGACATTGCTAGCCAATTTTTCTCCATGAACTCCAGGAATGTATATCCAATTGCCTTCTCAACAGCTCCACTTGGATGACAGACTTCTCAAACTTAGTATGTACAATGCCAAATACCTATAGTTACATTCCCTCAATGGACAGTAACTCCATCCCCCCAGTCATTAAGGTCACATATGAAATCACCCTTGAGTCACTCCTTCACACCCTATATCCAATCACTCATTCAAAGTGTATCCAGAATCTAAGTACTTCTCATTATTTCCATGGCTGTAACCAGGTCCAAGCGACCCATCTCCTTCTTTTATTAGTGTAATAGCCTCCTAACTGCTTTTCCTGTTTCTATCCTTGCTCTCTATAGTATTCTCTGAACACAACAGCCAGAATCATTTTTTAAACAAACTTAAGTTGGATCATAGCACTCCTACGTTTGAAAACCCTCCAGTGGTTCCCTATATCATTCATGACAAGAGCCAAATCCTTAAAGTGATCCACGAATTTATCTTGGACTCCTCTCATCCTGCTCTGCTCTGATCACATTGACCTCCTTTTTGTTCCTTGATAAAATTGGGCATGTTCCTGTCTTAGGTCCCCTTCACTGAATCCTTTGCTAGACTCTCTTACCCGCTGTATCCTCATATGTACATGGCTCACTCCTTCACTTCCTTGAAATCTTTTCTTAGGCCTTTCTCAGTGAGGCCGGCCATGATCACCCCTGTCAAACTGCAACTTCCTCCCAGACCAGCACTCCTGATCTTCCTTACCCTGTTTGCTTTCTGTTGCAGAGCACATTTTAATACAAGAATTAATTATTACGTTTCTAAATTATAGTCTAAATTACAGCCTGCTTCTCTCATGAGGCTCTGTGCCTCATCCCCACTTTTCCCTATATTCATTTTAGAGTTCATCCTTGAGAATGTTAAGCTCCTTATCTAAGATTCCATTCAACGTACTGAACAAAACTTTGAGTAAGAGTGGGAAGTAATAACATTTTTTTTTCTATCGTCAATATCCTTGGGTGAAAGAAAGATAATAGGGCAACTAAAGACTAAAGTGAAATTATAAAGCTGCACCTAGGAATTATATCTTAAACAAGATAATGCAGAATTCCTTGTATAAGCAGGCATGAAATACCATATAATTGTTCCCTTCAAAGTAAGTCTAGGTGCTGTAAACAATTTTAATTACATATTAAATAGAAGAAAAATATAAAGATTGTCCACTAAAATAATCTACATAATTAATTCTCTTTTTCTTTCTGTTTTTTTTTTTTACTTAGATAACTGGTAAAGGATTTTGTTTATTTTTAATTTTTCTATCTTTAATAAGTAATAATTTTCACTAAAGCTAGATTTAGCACCAATGCTAAAATAAATTATGTAATCTGAACTTTAATCATTTTAATTTACTATTTAGCTGTTTATCAATGGTGTTTAAAACCTGCCTGAAAAATATACCACACTTTACCTAGCACACTCAAGCATTCTCTTGCACTCATCACTGACAGGCTGATTTAAGTCCTTGCCACTGCCTTACAACCCCCTTCCCCCATTTTAAAATTGTATCCCTTACTTTGTCATAAATCACTTTTATAATGAGAGAGCAGCTAGGACACGTTGCCACGTCTTCCCCATTCTCCAAATCTTCCTACAACGAAATCAAACACCATGTGGTCAGCACAGTCTCTTCGCCATCTCCTCCCGCAAACCTGTCCCACCTCTAGGTGCATGTCTCTTAGTGGCTTGCCTTCCCTCCAGGGTGGGTGAGAACCCCAGGGCCTTCAGTGAGAAATGCCAACTTCATTCTCCTATAGAAGCGTCGCTTAGGGGAAACATCTAGGCATGTTAGGCGAGTTTCGGTCGCCCCAAAGCCCTGGGAAACAAAAAATGAGTCCCCTCCTCTACAGAGATATTCCAGGCTGGGATTCTACGGCGGGGATCGGGCAGGGAGACAGAGCCTCCCGCCGCTCTCTTCCTGGCCTAATTTAAGGCCAGAACTACCTATCTACCGAGAGAGCTCAGGGTATTAGCTGGGGTGGGGGTATGCGGGAAGAGGAAGATTCAGCAACTGGAAAGAGGGCGTGGGTGACCCAGAGCTTCAAAGACGACCCAATGACGGAAGGCACAAGGCGGAGCGAAACTGCGCTTGCTTGGGTGAACCGCCGGGCGAGGCCCTGAAGTTACCTTGGTGATAGAGAAGTTATCTCCACATGGGCAGGGATAGAAATACGTCTCCGAGTCCTCGTCATATTGGAAGTCCTCGATTTCCACCTCGTCGTGAAACACTGCCATGGTCAGCAGGGATCGGCAAGGGATGACGCTCCAGCAGTCCGAGACCGGATTCGAGGGTCTAACTTCGCCGAAGCCGCCCCGGGCTAAGCATCACCACATCGCGCCGGGCTAGAACCAGCGCTTCCGGCGCATAGGCAATGACGCCATTCCGGCCTGCGCGGCCAAACGGGTAACTTGTAGCGGTCACCATGGAGATGGCTGAGCTAGGGGCGGAGACACTGGGAAGACGGCACGTCTTGCTCGCGTGGTCGCGCACCTCTCCTTCTATTGGACGGCAGCGACCAATAGACTGTGGGACTGGCTCGCGCTGCTTCGTCACGTCTAGGACCGCGGAGTATCTCAGGCGCCCGGAGCTGAGTTTGGCCGCGTCTGCGAGCTAGGTGCCCCAGGGGTGGGGTAAGTTTCCCTGTTTCTTATCGCCTAGTTTAGGCCTTAAACAGCGGGCTGAAGGCTGCAGCAGGTGCTAGGTAGCCTCCTCCCGGTAGCTCTCGGGAAAGGCGGAGTGGGGAGGCGAGAGCAACTTAGCCTCCTCGACCTCCCCGCGTGACTGACGAACAGTTCTCGTAGAATTTCGCTTCACCGAGTGACCTTGAGCCCAGGGCGACGGTCAGCTTGTTCCTGGCTGCAGGTAAATTTCGCGTTTTTCTCTCCCCAGACATCTTAAAATAACCTAAATTGCGTTGCTGAAAGGACCAAGCCCTGGAAAGCAAGGATTGAGTTCTAGTCTTCTCTTTGTCAGGTGCATAACATTATTAACTACGATGATTTGTAGTAATAGTAATAACCTTTTATTATTGGGAAGCTATGTGCCAGGTATTGCACTAAGTGGAAATGTCAACTCTAGGAGTTTACATGTTATTCCATTTTACTAATCTTTAAACTGAGGTACAGAGAGTTGGGCACCTTGACCAAAATCATACACCTAGGATAAGAGCTTATCTGTCTCCAAAGCCCAGGAAAAAATTGCTTATGTGAGTACCAGTTTTTTCTTTGTGAAAGAAATGGTATCAATGGGCAGGTTTATTAGTATGTATGCCTTGAAACGAAATGCAGATGTAAGGCATTTTGTCTTGAAAGCAGTGCTAGTGCTTGTTTTGGTAAAACCGATTCCATTGGGTCTTAATTACGTGGTATTTTAATATAGAGAAGGAATGCATTGTAGTGGAAAAAAAAAAAAGCACTTTTGAGAGAAGATCTGGGATCGGGAATCTTGAGTTGCTGACTAGCCCTGGCAACTGATATTTACATTCTTTGGGCCTTATTTCCTCTTCTAAGAAACGGTTGGAGATGATTATAAGATCCTTTGTAGATGTAACATCCCACTTTTGCATGGAAATTACGAGTTTTACTTGGTTCAGCAATTATATACCATATTTAGTTTACATAACACATATACAAATTATATCCCTGTGCTTATGTTTACACACTCATTTGTTGGCATGAAGTTACCAATTTTGTGCACACTTAGCCCTTTTAAAGCTTGAAAACTTAAAGGCAGAGGAGTTTTTGGGAGAAGATCCAGAAGTTACATTACAGGACTTTATGGAGGATTATTTCAAAGACCTCACAAACACTTGTTTTTCTGTAACTGTAGATTTACCCAGCAGTTAGGAAATTTGTTAAGTTTGTCAAGGATTAACTGTGATTGTTCTGGTCTGTCTGGGCAAAGGAGAAATCCCAAGCCTGCACAGCTCGATGGCTGCTCCTTACATCGCTGTTGACGTAAATACTTCCCACATAGCCTCTTGGAGACAGAAAAAAAAGGGAAATTCTCTGTCTATTTTGTAGTCCTGATGATCATTTTGAGGTTGGGAGCCATCTTTATTTCTTTAGTACTTCTGAGTGTAAGTACTTGAAAATTAAATATGAGCCATTTTCGTATGTAGAGAAATGGGCGTGGTCATATTTGGCTTATGGGAAGTATAAATTGGTAGATCTCTTAGAAAGCAGTTCGCATCTATCAAAAACAATTTGTTGAGGAATTTTAAAATCTGAAGTTAGTAGTCCTAAAAGCTATAGGGGTTGTTGGGTAGTTTTTCTATGTAATTTTCCAGCTTTTCTTTGAATACATGTTAGCGAAAATGGAAAAAACAAATGAGCTGCTTAATAATAGTTGACACTGTGTTGGTCATACGCTATGACCAAATCCTTATGTACATTATGTCACTAAAAAAAACCCAGTGAGGTGTAAGTATCGTTACCCTCATCTTTAACACTGAAAAGCATGAGGCTTATGGCCTGAGGAACTTGCCTAAGCCAAAGCTGGTAAATGGCAATAAGCTGTGATGAGAACTCAAACCTGTCTGACCCTAAAATCTAGGCTTTTAATTAATAATGATGTCATTGGTGATGTGGTGGTACTTCATGCAGAGCTCGATTTAAAAGGCAGCACTGTAGCTCTGCAGACTGCTGAGATCTTCCACTGAGCAGTGCTCATTCCCATGAGAACTAGGTTTGGGGAGGGGGTCTCCATGGCTTTCCATGTTTTCATCCTGCCATCCATTGGCTGTCTCCATGGTCTGGCCAGAGATGGCTGCTCTTAATCTTCCGCCCAATTTGAGCTTGTACTGTGCTGAAGAAAGTAAAACCATAGCCAAGCATGCAGTGTAGTTTATTTTACTTCACCTAGCACTTTTAAAGAACACATTACAATGACTACTAAACTTTATATTTATTCCTAAAAGGATGGAAACATTTTGTAGTGACACACTTTTGGACCCTGAGAGTGCAACACAAGCAGATTTACTAGTTGCAAGAGTAATTTGAGATCACTCATGCTTTTTAGTATTGTTTATTTTATCATGAATTTTATCTGGATAACACTGCTTATCCAGAAAACAGTGGTGCCTAGGATTCTTTGCATAAGTTCAGGTTTAGAAGTAGATCAGAATTGTATGATGGAAACTATAATTGATGAGTGCTGTTGTCTATCAGGCCAGAGGGAGTTGTTCGCTGGCAATACCAAACCTCCACCTCTGTAGGTGGGTTGACAAGGAGGAGAAGGGGTTAATGTATTAGGACTGATTTTTAGTAACGCTCATGCTTCCTAGGTACTTTGGTATTTTATTTATTCCTCTCAATAATCCAGTGAGGTGGTGTGAGTAATGTTAAAATGGCAAGAGGAGACTTGCTGAAGATGAGAAAGCAGGAAGGAGTCACACCTGAGCCCAGTTCCGTTGATTTCCAGTCAAATACTCTGTGGCTATTACCTGTTTACCACTGAGGTTTCTTTGCCTAACGGAGCACGAGGAGCCCTTTTGCTTCCTCAGTGCAGATTCTAAATTGACAGATGCCATGATTGTTCTTTGAACTTACTTAATTTCAGTGCATTTATGCTTGTTGAGACATGCTTGACTTTTCTCTTTTTGTCATTGTCTTCTCACACCCTGTTTAATGTATTAGCAAGTTTTGGGGCTCTAATTCCAAAAAATATGTCATATTCATCTACTTCTGCCATCTCTGTAGCTGTTACTTTATTATAACCTTAGACCAGAGTCTTTTAACTAGACTTCCTCCTTCCACTCCTGCGCCTTCCTATTATCTTTCCCACAGCAACTTGAGCAGTCCTTTAAAAATATAAATTAGATCTTGTCCTTCTCCTGATTGATTCACTCTTCAGTTGCTTCCTGTTACCCTTAGGATAAAATTCCTACCGTTCCTGTAGACTGCTGGACTTCATCTCATTTCACTCTTACCAGCCTACTGTTCTCCAGTCACACTGGCCTTGGTTCCTCTAACATGCTGGGCTTATTTCTGTGTTGGGACCTTTGTTCTTGCTAATTCTTCTGCCTGAGTGGCCTGCTTTTACCATTTGCTCGGCTGCCTTTTCCTCATCCAGATCTCAGCCAAGGTGTCACCACTGGAGAGTTGTCTTTCCTGATATTTCCCCCACCTACCCCATCACTCTTACTTCTTTATCATACTCATCATAGTCTGTAGTTATCTTGTTAATTATTTGTTTCCTACTGTCCGTCTCTGGAACTGTAATAAAAGCTTCATGATGGCAGGGGCCTTGCATCTGGTTCTTACTGTATCTTCAGGGTCAAAATAGTGCCTGGCACCTCTGTAATTGTTGAATGAACTCAGTATACCTGTTGAACTGAAACCAGTTATTCATCTTAAATCTTAAGTTTAATCTGTTGCTTTCAGAAATTTATTTTACTACGTATTTAATGGGTGTGAGTTTAACATTTATTATAATCTGCATTTCAGAAATAAAGTTAGTTAAGAATTTTTGATAAGGGAAGGCTTGTGAGGATACAGACAATGATGGGATATTCTTCTTTATATGGTTTTAGAAATAACTTGATATATATTGATCTGCTGTGGTTGATTAAATACTTCCAGTATGAAACCACTGGACATATTTCAAAAAATTAGTAGGGTTTCAGTTTTTTATATTTTACTTAAAGGACTGGCATAAAGCTTTGGAAAGCACTTTGAACAGAATTTTATAAAAATGCCCTTTATGTACCAGTAGGTGGCACTCTTGGTCATGGTTACTTTAACAAAATGTTAGAATTTTAAAGAGAACTGCTTTTAAAATTAACGTTTATTTTCCTGTTTAGTTGAGAAGGAGACATTCAGGCAGCATAATCATTAAACGATGTATCGTATTGTGAGGACAACTTATTTTAGCAATAGTTGTCTAAAACATTAAGCAGAGCAATATTTCCATATTTAACTCTATAGTGGTTAAATTTTATCAGGGAACTTGGCCTTAAATGACATGTAACTGTGTCATTCTGACCTTTGGTCTGCTGTTTCCTGGGGTGGATATCCTAAGCAGCAGTAGTTAAAGACAGGCCAAGGAAGAAGAACAAAAGAAGCTGTAAGATAAATAAGCAAAAAAGAAAAATGGAAGCATGGGGGGAAGAATGGATGGAGAGGGGGGTAATTGAGAGTGGGCTTGCTGTGAGGTAATGCCTACTGATTATCGTAAGCCTTTCCTTTTGCAGCTAAGAGGTAATAGTGCTTTTGATCAGTTTTCCAAAACATTGTTATATGTTGTTTGTGTCATTGCAGGAACTTTGTGAGAATTTTAATGCTTGGAAAAACTGTGTTTCAACTGGTGTACATCCAAAAGTCTCAGTGTAATAGCAGGACCAAAATATTCTGTCAGTCAGCTGACCATATACTTAATGACTCCTAAAATCTCGTGGACTTCCAGAGTAAGTTTCAACTTCTTTCTTTCAGGGATTAAAGCATTATTTTGGGCTTAGCACGTTTAATGGAGAAAAACGACATTTAGTGGTCTTGAATGAGGTTGAAAGGCCTTCTGCTTTTTTTGTTTACTAAAGAGCAAAATAGCAAGTAGTGTGTCCACAGTGATGCTGCAATATACTATGGCAAGAAGAAATATATCTTTTGTCTAGAGACTAGTTATGAAGTAGTGAGGTTTTTAATGATTTGGTTACAACTGAATACAGATGACTTGTATCACCATCATATTTGTTTATTTGTATTTATTTTCTGTCTTTATCTATTAGAATGCAGGCTCTCCAAGAAGGTTTTTGTTTTCTCCATGCCTATATCACCATTGCTTAGACCAGTGCATGCCACATACTGGGCCCTTGATAGATATTTGTTGAGTGAAGGACCAAATTAATGATTATGGAGTAGGAATATAAACACTTAGCTTGAATATTTTCCTAACACCAACTTATTACAATTAATTTATGTACTGCCTCCCAAAAAGCTCAGAAAAGAAGTATTCACATGTATTTTCATTTATTCTCAAGGTAACTAAGAAAAGGACAGATACAGCAATGTAACATGTTAAATGTGGCCATTTTAGGCAAATAAATGTTTAAAAATGGACATAGGAAAATGATATAAAAGGAACCAAAAAGAAATATCATCTGACTCCTAATCAGTGCTTTTCTTGATAGGCTGGTAGTTTTTAGAATTTGAAATATTGAAGAATATGTGTATATGTGTGTGTTTATACTTAAAGTTCAAGTACAAACAAAACACTACACAGATTCTAAGAGGACAGCTTAATTAGTTTTTACGAAAAGTGAAAATACCCATGCAATCCGCACCCAGTTTAAGAAATAGCATTGTCACTACCACCTCCCAAGGGAAACTGCTAACTAGATTTCTGACAGCATAGATTCATTTTGTTTGTTTTTATACTTTATATGATTAGAATCAAAGAATATCTGTTGTTTTGACTCTGGCTTCCTTCATTCAGTATGTTATTTGTGATACTCATCTATGTTACTGCATGAAGTTGCAGTTTGTTTTCATTGCCGAATAGTATATCTTACTGTGTGAATGTATCACAATTAGTTTATCTCCTCTAGTAATGGCATTTGGACAGTTTCCAGTCTGGGCCATTATGAATAGTATTATCTGTTTTGGTTTTTATTATCTGGGAACCTTAAGCTTCTTGTTTGGAAACGTTGGTAAATTTATCTTCCTCTTACACTTTACCTAACAAGAAATATAAAAGACTTGTGTAGTGTTCTTTAGGTAGAATACAATTATCTGAAAGTTATAAAATCTACTCCCCTCTTCTGTGATAAGATTAGTTATGTGACTTTGATCAAAGATTTTAGAAACCAACAGAGAACATAAATATTTGGTAACACCAAAAATTACAGACTTATGTACATAATTGTGGAAATACCTTGAATCAACTCTGAATAGTGGCAGAAACTGTATCGACGTTAAGTTAGGCTCTTGGTTGCTTTGCTGGTAGCTTGACTCATAACAGCACCAACAGAAACCCAAACTCTTCTTCACTGACCCTCTAAAATAGTCTGATATTTCCCCACTGTTTTAAAAAACAGTTTTAAATTTCAGTTTTATGTTTGCCCAGGAAGCACCATGGCCTGTGCTGCTGTTATGATTCCTGGGTTGCGGTGCTCTGTTGGAGCCGTCTGTACTCAGGGTGCTTCATTGAGATTGACATTCAGCACTTTGCGCCACCTTACTCTAACCAGGTGAGTCGTTAAGCCTTCCGTGCATTTGAAGTTGATTTTCAAAGACACCTGACCTGCTGATGGTCCCAAGAGGCATATCAAACACCTGACAAGGTAACACCTTGGCTTCCATGTGCATGCTGTCAGGTTGTTAAACTTCTTTTTTTTTTTTTTTGAGAGGGAGTCTTGCTGTGTGGCTCAGGCTGGAGTGCAGTGGCACGATCTCAGCTCACTGCAGCCTCCACCTCCTGGGTTCAAGTGATTCTCCTGTCTCAGCTTCCCGAGTAGCTGGGATTACAGGCATGTGCCACCACACCTGGCTAATTTTTGTATTTGTAGTAGAGAGGAGATTTTGCCATGTTGGCCAGGCTGATCTCGTACTCCTGACCTCAGGTGATCTGCCTGCCTCAGCCTCCCAAAGTGCCGGGATTACAGGCGTGAGTCACCATGCCTGGCCAAAACTTTAGTTAGATGGGCAAATACTCGCTGACCATATTATAGGATCCATAATGTTATATTGTATTTAGGATGACCATGATATTTCAGGACAAACTAATTTTATGATTTTTATGGGGTTAATACATAATAACCTAATTTTACTTTCTGTTACAGCATAATGAAATCCAAAAGGAAAACTGATCACATGGAGAGAACTGCAAGTGTCATTCGACGGGAGGTTTGTATCTGTGGGGTATGGGAGGTTTTTCCAGCTAGACAGTTTACACGTGGTTATGATTGGCTTATGGGTAAAGCGTTAGATGAGTCTGGTCCTTTTGAAGGACAGTTGGGAAGTTTGTTATTTTTCTATTTAGAAATTTTCTGTGCAGGACGTGTGATATCTGATTTGAAAAGATGACAGACAAATACTCGAATTTTTCCCTTTAAATTTGGAATGATGGATTAACTTTTGATGAAGGGAGTATAGCAGCAATTGAGGGAACCACCCTCACAGGTGTGATGTGTAGGGTTATGTTTTAACACCAGAACTTCTTTTAGAGCCTGCAAATAGCCTATGAATAGCTTACCTTTTTCTTTTTCTGGCTTTTTTTTTTTTTTTTTTTTTTGCGCATCACATCTCAAAGTCCTTGTTCTCATTCCTACTTTAGAACAACTTATTTCGTCAACTTATTTCATCAAGGGAGAAAGCACTAACATCTGAGAAAGGAAAGTGGATGAGCTCTTGTTACCCTTCTAATGTACAGATTTTTTTCCCCACCATATTCAGACTATAGAAAGCTAATCTACCACCTGAAGGGGTGTCAAGGGCTGAGACATAAAGGATCCTCACCCTTTACCTCAGTGAGTAACCCCATTTTTATTTAAAAACATAAATTGGATATTTGATTTTGTTTTTTTGAATGTTTATCACTTATTCAGATAAATTTAGCTGTGTTATAAGCCTATTTAAGCTAACAATAAAAAGCTGTATTTTATATAAAGAAGGATTATATACTTCTACAAACATGGGCAGAAATTAAATTGTCTCATTTAATTTTATTTATTAATAGAAGGATACACTTTAATATAGAGGTATACTTTTCAGAAAATTACTTTGGGACTAAGGGTAACCTTAAAGTTCCTGGGTTTTTTTGTTTGTTTGTTTTTGTTTTTGTTTTTGAGAAGTCTATAAAATTAGTTCAGCAGCAGAGTAGATTTAGGAGCTTATGGGGAAGTACACTTTTCCCAATGATAAATCTGAAAAGACTTTTTTTTTGTTTGTTCAAGTGACCAAAGTCGCTGATTCTGTAAATGTGAGACTTAACTGTTAGGATTTTGAAAAAATGAAGGCCTTGTAAATTATGAAGATAAGTGGTTTATCTTACAGGCGAAAGACTGTTGTATTTTGAGGCCGGTAGAATTAGAGCAGAGGTTGAAGAACTTTCTCTAGAAGGCCAGATAGTAAATATTTTAGTTTTTTTGGGCTATGCTGTCTTAATTACAACTTCTAATCTCTGATTTTATAATGTGAGAAGAGCCATAGAAAGTATGTAAACAAATTTCATTTACCAAACACCCAGATTTGGCCTGCGGGTAATAGTTTGCTAGTCTCTGAATTAGAATATTCATTTCAGAATTTTATTTTACAATACCAATTAATTTTAATAGCCTGCAGAAACTAAGTACAATGTGAGCAAAAAGAATTATCAGGCATTTACAAAACAATTAGTACATTATTTACTGTTTAGTGTTGACTGATATTTATTGAGCACCTCCTATTTTCCAGGCCCCAGAAATTTGTTTGTTACCTTACAGAATTCTCAAAACTGTGCCGTGAGATATATAATAGTATTTTAAGACAGGTAAGATAGACAGATAGATAGATAGATAGATAGATAGATAGATAGATAGATAGATAGATAATAGTACTTTCTTCTTGATTTTTGAGACAGGGTCTTGCTCTGTCACCCAGGCTGGAGTGCAGTGGTGAAATCATGGCTCACAGCAGCCTTTATCTCCCAAGCTTGAGTGATCCTCCTGCCTAAGCCTCCTCAGTAGCCAGGACTACAGGCACACTACTGTGCCCAGCTAATTTTTAATTTTTGTAAAGATGGTCTTGCTGTATTGCCCAGGCTGGTCTTGAACTCCTGGCCTCAAGTGATCCTTCCTCCTTGGCCTCCCAAAGTGCTGGGATTACAGGCATGAGCCACCGCACCTGGCCAGTATTTTCTTTTTAATAGATGAGAAGATTAAGAATCAGGCTAATAGGAACTTGCACAGCATCCCTCATAGGCATTAACATACTTGATTACGTTGACTGCCAATTCTAAGGAAACATAATCTATTTTTCACATTTGTATTGTTACTACAGAGTCTTTACTTTTACGTTTTTCAAATTTGTGTGGATATAAACAGTATTTTTATTTATGTCACCGTCATATCCCTTTCCTAATGAAAGACCTTTATCTCCCTAAGGTTATGACCACTTGTCTATAATTTCTTGCTTATTAATTTTAATATACATAAGTGGGAATGTGCAGTATTCAGTATTCTGTTATTCTGCAATTTAAAAATGAGGCAGGCGCATACTGTAAAGGTTACACCTATTAAAAAATAGATACTAATGGCGTATCTCTTTCTGAATATGCTCACACTTCCTTTTCTTGGGTGTATGCTTTCCCTTTTCCAGTAAATTACCATACTTTCACTAAAAAAAAAAAAAGTATCAACTATGGTTTCTAAAATACACTTAAATATATTTAAAATTAACCTCATTAAAATTTTTGGTTTACAAAATAATACAGTATGTTAAAAAGCGTAAATGACTGTGTATTATGATGGTTAGTGACATGTAAGTACTGACACACATATTCTTTCAAGTTTGAAGTACCGCACCTGAGAACTGGGCTAATGGGCAGTTCCTTAGTTTGGTTCAACTGGAATAAAATTATAAAAGGTGTATTTTCCTTTATGTTACAGATATATAACTATAGCCAAAAGGTCAGATAACACTGAATTCAGTTAATATTGCAATAGTTAATATCAAATTCTAGCCAACTTCTGGTATTATGAAAGTATGTCTAATCTTAGAGAAAACCTGTTCTAACAAAGTTATCTTAAGAAAAAGGGAAGGAACTATAAAGAAACAGACTGTTAGAGAGCTAGTAAATATTCTTTTGTAGGTTAGGGCCTGAGATTCAGTCCTGATAGGTAACTTGCTTAAGCCCTGTGCCGATGGTGAATCCAGGACTGATTGCTGAGCCTGACTTCTGTTTCAGGCTCTCCTGAACATGCCCTTGTTCTCTCATCTTATGACTGAATCGTGTCATTTATTCACTAAATTTTAACTCTAATTTGGAAAATTATCAACTAATAAAACTGTTTTTCTCTTCAGCACAACTCCCTGGTCTTTAAAAATGAGTGTTATAAGAACAGGATACAGTCCCTAACATTAGAGCACTGTCATAGGTTCCTTAAGATCAGAACTTTATACAGGAAAAAGTTCCCTTTGCATCTAGTTTGATTTGGCTAGAAAAAGCTTCTATAAAAGTCATAGCTTTAAAGCCTTTTTACTCTATAACGTAGTGACATCCTATGTTGTAAAACAGTTTTTATCATCTGACATTTTCTTCAGATAGTTTTCCTGCTTTAGCTGTCTTATAGGAACTTCCAAAGACTTCAGTCTACCTATAGTTTGTTGTTTGTGGCTCAAGAAGAGTTATCTTTGAATGTAGCTTAGAAACTTTCTGCCAAAAATGTTCTTTATTTATGTCTTGTCTGCAGTAAGAATGTTCAATTTGTGGCCAAGTGTGCAGTGGTTAATGTCTGTAATCCCAGCACTTTGGGAGGCTGAAACAGGAGGATCACTTGAGACCAGGAATTCAAGACCAGCCTGGGCAACATAGCAAGATCCAGTCTCTACAACAAGTTACAAAGTAGCTGGACATGGTGGTGTGCCTGTAGTCCTGGCTACTCAGGAGGCTGAGTCAGGAGGATCACTTGAGCCCAGGAATTCAAGATTACTAATGTGAGCTATGATCGTGCCACTGCACTCCATCCTGTGTGGCAGAGCAAGATCCTGTCTGTCTCTCTCTCTCTTTTTTTTTTTTTTTTTTTATAGAAAATGTTTCATAGATTTACATTCTTCTATAAGGAGTCTTCAATGTCTATGTCTTCCATTTCCATGGGTTCTTTTTGGGTAGATATAAAAGAATTAACTACAGGTTTAGAAAAATGACAATAATAGATTCTTTATTCATGTTTAATTCTTCAACTGTTTGATTAATTGTGGTAACTAAGAATGAATTATTCTGTGCTGACTTGATTTTTGTGGAATTATTTGTAAAGTTTGGATTAGCAAGATGATTAGTAGTTATTTCAAGCACTTCTTCAGTTTCTAAAGACTGTAGGATACCTTCGGAATTTGAAGTTATCCAAGTAATAGTTGTAGAATTTAGATACTCAAAAGATTTGTGAAAACTACCTATATCCATATTTTAGTTAACTGATATTTCGAAGATATATTCTGGTTTCCTAGTTAATCTTGTTTAACTAGTAGTTTAAGAGTTTCCTAGTTAATCTTGTTTAACTAGTTTAAGAGCTAACATATATTTTGACTTGAACCCGGGAGGCAGAGGTTGCAGTGAGCCGAGATTTCGCCACTGCCCTTCAGCCTGGGCAACAGAGCAAGACTGTGTCTCAAAAAGAAAGAAAGAAAAGAGGAAAAGAAAAGAGTTAACATGTGTTTTGTATACTTCTTGGTGTTGGAAGCTGGTGGCTTCACCAAGGCAGATGAATCAAGTAATTGCGTGTTCAGGGAGCACATGTGTGTTTTCTTTGCCTCATTTAATACAAGTGATTTTTCTAATTTGGCTTTTAGGCGTACTTTTTTCTCATCATACAATTTTTTCTTCTGGAATATTTTTTTTTTTTTTAGAAGGTTCTTTTTCTGGATTGTCTTTAGGCAAAGGAAAAATTGTTGGAACTACACGTCGTTTTAAATACCAAATTCCCCAACTGATGTCAAGAGAGTCAGGAGTGAAATGGTCACTACGTAGTAACTGGTATTTGCCTGAAACCCATCAATCTTGCTTTATATTTTTTCACCGTTTTCAAGTTTTTCTTTGTCATTTGGGAGAAATGGGTAAAAACTCAGCTTCTGATCTTTATTTTTTTTGTCCCTGGTGATTCTTAGAGTAAATCACTGTCCTATAGCTGAGTATCACTTCTATGAGGTCC